AAGAGTACCAGTGGCTTTTCTACCAGACAGCCTACTGCTGCCGAGAGTACTAACAGCACTTCTACCAGCGACACTACTGCTGCCGACAGAACTACCAGTCCTTCCACCATCCAAACTACTACTGCCAAGAGTTCTAGCAGCCCTTCCACTACCAGAACTATTTCTGGCAAAAGTACTAGCAGTCCTTCCAACACCCAGTCTACTACTGCCGATAATATTAGTACCCATTCCCCCGCAGAAACAAGTACTGCCGACAGAACTAGCAGTCCTTCCACCACCCAAACTACTACTGTTGAGAGTTCTAGCAGCCCTTTCACTACCAAAACTACTTCTACGAAGAGTACTAGCAGTCCTTCAACCACCCAGTCTACTACTGCTGAGAATACTAGTACCCATTCCACCGCACAAACTAATACTGTCGACAGAACTAGCAGTCCTTCCACCATCCAAACTACGACTGCTGAGAGTACTAGCAGCACTTCCAACACCCAAACTACACCTGCCAAGATTACTACCAGCCCTTCCACCACCCAAACTACTACTATTGAGAGTACTAGCAGCCCTTTCATCATTCAAACTACCACTGCAAAGAGTACTAGTAGCCATTCCACCATCCAAACTATTACAGCCGAGACTACTAGCAGCACTTCTTCCACCCAATCTTCTATTGGCGATTTTACGAGCACCATATCCACCATCAAAGCTACCGCTGCCGAGATTACTAGCAGCCCTTCCACCATCCAAACTACTAGTATCAAGAGTACTAGTAGCCCTTCAAGCAGCCAAACTATTTCCGCGAGTCCTACCAGCCCTTCCACCAGCCATACTACTACTGCCCAGAGTACCAGCGGTCCTTCCACAAGCCAAACTACTGCTACCTATAGTACCAGCGACCATTCTCCCACCCAAACTACTGCTGCCAAGAGTACTGCCAGCCATTCCACCAGCAAAATTACTACAGCCAAGACAACTAGCAGCCCTTCCACCACCCAAGCTACTACTGCCAAGAGTACTAGCAGCCAATCTACCACCCAAACAGGAAATGCCACAGGGACATCAACTGATTTCACATCAATACCAGTCTCCGCAACTACTCCCTCGACAGAAGCACAGGTCACAGCGACCATGTCTAGCCCTTCGATTACCAAAAGTACTAACACTCTTTCCACTAGCAAAACCATTACTGTCAAGAGTACCAGAGGCCCGTCCACCAGCCAAACCACTGCTGCCAAGAGTACTAATGGCCCTTCCACCAGCCAACTTACTACTGCCAAGAGCACTAACGGCCCTTACACCAGCGAACGTATTACTGCTGAGACTAAGAGCAGCCCTTCCACCACCCAAACTACTGCTCCCAGGACTACCAGTGGCCCGTCCACCAGCCAAACATCTTCTGCCAAGAGTACCAGTGGCTTTTCTACCAGACAGCCTACTGCTGCCGAGAG